ACGCGCTTTGCTACCCTTCCACCTGGTCTCCTGCACACACAGTATATCTACCTTCCTTCTCTCCATCATGTCCGCCAGCTCTCTACCTTTCCCTGTCATTGTGCCAACGTTAAGAGTCCCTATTCTCGGACCTATACTCCTGCCTTTCCTCTTCTCTCTCTGTCTACAAATCCTTCTACTTCCTCTCCTTCTTCGACCAACAGTAGTCCAATTTCCGCCAGCACCCTGTAGGTCAGCAGCACTGGTGGCGGTCGTTATTAAGCCGGGCCTCGACCGATCCGGTATGGAATTCGCACTGATGATTCGCATGTTTAAATTTGGCATGTTTTTACGCCGGATGCCCTTCCTGTCGCAACCCTTTCTATTTGTCCGGGCTTGGGACCGGCACAGAAGTCACTGGATTGCAACCCCTGTTGCTAAATTAAACAGGAAGTATAATATTGTATATGAAATATAATATTGTTTACGTTTTAGAATATTACATTTGGCACCCAATTAACTGTTTATTTCTGCTACCACTGGTTTACTGACAACTATCACTGAGTTACTTTAATACTGAAGAAATGTTATAAATCTGATGAGGCAAGTTCTGAAATGTTCCAATTCCTACACCATAAATTGTACATTATCTTCTAATTATAAGATAGTTTGTGATAATTGTGAGATTGTAAATCACAATTATGAGATAAGATCACCATTTTGTGAATGCAGTGTATTTCCATATGATACAGCAGGAGAAGCAAGAAACAACTTACTGATTCATCAAATGACATCTACATTGTTATGTACTGCAGGCATACTGTATATACAGCAGATCTACTGTATGCCTCTTACTGTGTGTAGGTCGCCATTGTATCTTCATAAAATATAGATTAAAATCTGTACTCTTTGTGTGGGCTCAACTGTTTATTGAGACTGGGGCATAATTGAATCCAAAATGTATTTATCTTACAGTGAATCCACTGAAAACTGTTTTAAGTTGTATGTTTTCTAGTGTAAAACAACATTTGTGCTTTTGCTTTTTCCAGTTGGCTTTGCTCACAGTGAAGGATCTGGAATCATTAATGGAGGGTAAACTGAAGATTATGATTTGTTTCAGATAATATTTGCCACTGTGTGTTTTATATTAAAACTATCAATAAAATCTTTCTCCTCTTTCCAGGCCTGGTTTGTTGGGATCAAACATGGGTAACTACCCTTGGCTGGCGGACTCTTGGCCCACTCCAAACCTCACTAATAACACCAAAGATTCTGTCAAATGCTGCTCTGGCAAACTGGACTCAGACAGATATTATAACAGTAGGAATACATTTTGAAAGTTTGGCGAAATTAGAGATTTTAGAATACTGAATAGGTGATTGCCATTGTTAATGCACAATAACATAGTGTTTTGTCATTCAGCAGTTGGTATCATCAACTACCCGACGCAGTCAGAGAAACACAGCACAACATCCAATGACAGTCCCATCTACAGCACCATCAACACAGCAGCTGAGGACGACCTCCTGGCATATTACGACACCTACTCCATCACATCCTATAACCAGGGTCCAGACCCATACAGCAGCAATCCAGTACTGTCAAACAGTGGACTTGTGGGACTAGAGCAGGGCCTAGACCAGTGGACCCTCCAGTCTGGTCAGGCTGGGTCTGAATATGCCAAGCTCCAGTATACCAAGAAAAGTAACGGTGAGGGATTCCCACCTGCATAATCAATTTTTTTTTTAATAGAGTAGGGAAGAAAGGTGATTACATCTTCCTTGATTTGATACAGTACAGCTGTGATACATCTGACTGTGTTTCTTATATAATGGCAACTTTACACTATAAATTAGGAAGTTGTGTATATATTTTTACCCATAAAGGTTTAATATGTTTACATGCAGGTTTTTAATTATTTAAAACAATAGTTTTAACGCCAACCAAGTATTTCTATGGCCATGGTGTAAATATAAAAACTACTACTGAAACAATAAACAGGCTATAATGCCATACTTTTGCCAGCACTCTCAAATCTCATAAGCATGCATACTGTACAGGAGGCATGCATCCACCTAACATACCTGCACAGTTTTATCAGTTTCAAAACATGAATACAAATGCACTACAATAAATAAAGTACTTCGCACTAAGGCACCAAAAGAACCCCAACATTAAACACACACTTTTGTTACATACCTTACATAGACGTACCCTAACCTCAACCTCACCCAAACCTAGCCCAGCTTTCTGCAGCCTCTTCCTTCAAGAAAACTAGAAATAGCTTCTCACAGCAGCTCATTGAAAAAAAGTACATATAGTAGCAGGTAAAAAAAAAGTCAGATTGTATGGTGTAGAACACGTGAAAATTCATTCATGCAATTTCTGTCATGAAATGTCAAATTACCAACTCTTCTTCAATTCTATAATCTTTTACATGCTATTGAGAATATTTAGATAGTATTAGTTGATGAAAATTATACACAAATTCTCAAAACAAAGATTTTCTAAAAGAAATGATACAGTATGTATTTTTGTATGGCCTTGTGTTTCTTTTCAATCTCATTGTTACGTTGAGCTGTGTGTGAGTTGTTTAGGACCCAGTAAATATGCAGATTTGAACCCAGGCTAGACAAGAAAAACGTATTTAATGCTCCACGAAAACAAACAAAACAGAGCCGGTCTCGTCCGCTGATCTTGGGGCAGCTGGGCACACTGAGTTGACTGGACTACTGTCTCCCGGGGTGAATGAGAGGCGTTGCTTGCTAAATAAGAACAGAGAGAGAATTTAAGAACAAGCAGCAGGTATGGTATAGATTGTTTCTGGTAGTCACTCTGGGGACCTGAACAGCTGAGTGCGCCGCAGGCCCAGGGAGTAGTCCAGGGAGGGGGAGACTGGTGCCAGAGATCTCGGGTTTGGTGTGTGGGTCCCCTTATGAGGCAGCGCTGGTAGCTGAGAGGTGCGACGTAAGATGGTGGCGCTGTCCCAGGATTGCCTTGGAGCTCTGAGAGGAGGAGCAATTCACAAAAAGCAGTCCAAAGACATGAAACATAGTTACCAACAGGATAACACATAATAATCTGGCAATGAGGACACACCAACGCTGACCCTATATACTGCTCCGATAATGGAGAGCAGGTGTGCCTCGTCGCCTGGAATGCAACCTCACCTGTGCGGGGGCGGAGCTGCTGGAACTAACTGTGCCTGCTACCGAGGTATAGGGGGCAGCCTGGGTCACGGACGTAACACTCATCTTAAACCTCATCTGAAACCTCATCTGAAACCTATTGTAAGTAAGAATGTAAAGGACTGTAGGGCTAAGTTCTCAGTCACTTTTAAATGAAGTAATTCTAGAGAACCTTAAGGTGCTCAAATTAAAAAAGGTCAACACAAAGAAATGTCCTTCAGGTACTCAGGCCAGGCAGTTTCATTCATAGGGTCTGGGTGGAGATAATAAAAGCACAGTAATTACACTTTGCACACTATATGACTTAGTGTATGTTTGTTTTGTCTTCACAGACAAACTGGTAAAGCAGAAGATTACTGGGTCCTCATCTAGGTCAGCTCCTCTCACCTGGGTGGATGTTTTGTCTCTGCCTCTTCCTGCCAGCGAAGACAGAGGACACACAAAGACAGACAGAGGAGAGGAGCAACACAGGTGAGAGGAGTCACTGTTATCAGTATTTTGCAAGTAATTGTTGGCCCTTTTGTTCCTCCTCCAAGAATACAACTGCTGCTTGTACTGCCTCAGCTAATATTCATTCAGTCATATTATTAGCATCAAGGCCTCTGTCTTCACCTATATGACAGAGGGTGTTAAGGCAGATGGATATCAGTCTTGCCTTGTAACTCTGCCAAGTCTGTCAAACAAAACTTGAGTAAAGTTTGGAGCCAGGGAGTTTTTGAATTAACAGCATTTATGTCTGCAGGCTATGAGTCGATTGCGCTTTGGGGTTATGGAGGGGAGCATCTCCTCTAACTAGCTCTGACAGAATAGATTACAGACATAATGGGGTGGGATCGGAGGGCTGTTCTGACTGTGCCGTGTCTTTTGTAATGACATTAGCCACCATCTGACAGTCTGGATTAGTACTTTCGTTTTTCAATGACACATCTGTCATTAAATTAGCCCTGACAGCACTAAACTGACAACAGAAATCATGGAGGTGGTTCTCATCCTCTGAAACTCCACATTGGTTCCCTTCTTTATAAGAACTCAGAAATACTCTTTTTTTTGCTTTTACATTTTAACGTTAACATTTTACATTAACTTATACATTTTTAAATTATATATATTTCAAATTTTTTAAGATATTTTTGACCATGTAAGCAATATATCCATGTCTGTATATATAGTTTTTGCTTAGATTAAGATACAAATAAGATCCAGTATGAACATTTTCTAAATGTATGAGATACTGGTAGGCAGATTTTGTTGCTAAACTAAGATATTAAACATTGTACCTAAACATCAACATGTTTGCATTACTACTGTAAGTTCAGCATCACAAAGCCATTAGCATGGTTGTTTGGTCTGAGGTTTGTTTTGTAGATTGCACATGTACAGTGTTTCTCTCTGAAACACACTCATGCTACCATTACCCATTGTTTATCTTTTAGCTCTGAGGAGGAAGATGATGACTGGTGTCCTCCGCTGCCTGTCAGAACCTACTTGATGGACACTTCCAAAGAGGAACTCTCCAGCCTGCCCTCCAAACCAGATGAGTTGTCCTACACAGCAACATTGATGCATTCCCCAGGGCGAGACACACACAAGCCCAGTGACAGTTTGCAGCCGCAGGACTTTGACCTCTTGGCCCGCCACCACTCAAACTCCCAGGTCTCCCAGTCCAACCCAGATCTGTTTAGCAACACCGGGGCCCAGGACGCCAGTGAAGTGCACCACAGCAGCCAATGGGCAGACGATTTCATGGTGGAAAGCCTCGGCAAAAGTCAGTGTGACTTCATTTTGATGCCTCACATCTTTGGAAGTGGCTTCCAAAGAGGCAGTGACACAGTGTCACATAAAATGTAGTTTGTCATGTTACCTAACAGAACATATTTGTACATGAAAATCATGTTGCATTTATTCAAGGTGCAGCTCAGTGTTGTTCAGTTTTCTCTCATTTTCGTGAGGATAACAGTGTTGTGCTTTGTTTTCAGGACAATCTCCTGCTCCAGCTACTGATTTGAGCCCCACAGCCCATGCACACAGATCCAGGGGTAAGAAGAAAGCACCCAGGGACGGACAGCTCAAACAAGAGCTGCACAGCCATGCAGGTATGACACACTGTTTGGTTGTGTGTTTGTGACACATCTGATTTAAGTTTGAAAAACCTGTAGGCAATGTTAGAATGATAACTCACCAAATTATTAAGGTCAGCATGCCATACCATTTCTTGGTCGGGACTTGTAATATACTCGAGTTTTCACTGGTTGATCATAGCCAAGGAATAGTTTGGTTCATAACCCCTGTAAAACGACAGACAAATGAGACGATGTGTTAATTAGTGTTAACTTAAGAGGTTGCTGGTTATTACATTGTTACCTTTGGACAGACCCAGGCTAGTCTTTATGCTAAGCTAAGCTAACCACCTGTTGGCTCTGTCTTCAAAGATATTTAACTCTCAGAAAGAATGTGAATAAGTACATTTCCCAAAATGGTAAACTATTTTTTTCAGCTAGTTTTCACTTATCGGTAATGTATTAACCATCAGTGCTCGATCGTTTGCAGAACTCCCCCCACCACCAGCCCCTCACCCTACGGACAACTCACTGCATCTGTTGGCTGATGTCTTAAGTGGCAGCCGAGCAGACAGTGAAAGAAAAGAGGGGGATGACTCGCCTCCTCTTCAGAGGGGAGAACACCTCTCACCCCAAAGGCGAGGAACTACAAAGTGGTTATCACAGGGTAAGTTTAACCTGTGATATTCACTTCTGTAGCATCATTCAGTATTTGTCAACAACCTAAAATAGATCATCTGTGAAAAAAGAACAATTTCTGTCCCAGGACCGCATGTCATCTTGCTGTACCAGCCGGTCCTCATGTAGATGTGTATTAATATTATTGAAATGTTTCCTATGAATCCCCCTGAGTCTAGCGACACCCAGCCAGTGAACACATACTATCCCATGGTAGCAGCTCTGCTTTTAGTAGCAGACAGTCTATATTCAGTCTGTTCCATCTCTTAGGATTTAGCCTACATCAGTACCGCTGTAACTTTGATCTGTGATCTGTTATCTTGTCAACTTTATCGGCAGCAAATGAGAATGTAATCCCATATGGACAGTCAAGCTTCCTGCCCAAGGTCCAGATGTCAGGCTATGGATCCCTGGGTGGGGGAGTCTTACCGCGGCCCTCCACCCCTGATCGGAGGAGAGATAAGGTATGTCCAGTAGGAACTGCTGAACAGATACTATGGATGATGTAGGTCTCAGCCAGCTCAGTAGTAAACTGAAGTTTGTCATGACTAAAAAGTATGTATGTAACATAGTGACTCAAGAAAATGTCAAGTTCCACCTGTCCTAAGATGAATGTCCTGATACAAAACAGACTCTTTTGGGCTCTGTTCAAAACAGGTTTTCTTGTGTGTAAATCTAGACTACACACATGAACAAGGGGTGTGTTTAAAAAAGCATGATTGCTTTCATGGCTAACGATGAAATTAATCATTACACCGATACTGTACTCGACCCAGCGTGAGTCTTTTATGAGTGAAACGTGAAAGATGACTGAAAATGTGACTGTAATGACCTTGACTTCAAGGAGGTTAGTGATGTAATTTTTGCAGAACCGAGAAAAAAAGTATTAAAATGTTAATTTACTTTTGAGATAATCCTTGTTTCCTAGCTTTTGGAGCCCTGAAATTTGTGCATTGGATTAGTACAAAAATATATATAGTTTAATTTTAAAGCTACTCTAAAAATGATTTTTTTGCACTTAGAAAACAGATTTATTATCTTAGAAGAAAACAGATTTACTTGGCTACTGCATTAGCACCTGGCCTATATTTTGGCACTGCAAATATTATCAGTTTTTACTAACCACCAATGCATAGTATATTTCGGTACACTTTAGCTGATAAATAACAAGAAATTAGTGTGTTTCCTATTCAGTATTCTAGAGTGTTTCCATCAATTACCATTATGCAAATATTAGGAGTTGGTTCATCCAGATAAACAGCTGGTGGGGCTACTTTTCCAGTTGTGATCCGTTAAGTCCTTGAAGAAGAAGAGGGTGCAGTGACATGGCATAATTAAAAGAACACCAGTCAGACCTCAACTAGTGTGACTGAAATACTCTGTGGCATTTGTTTGTTTCATGTATAAGTTTGAGGAAGGTGACAGTCTCCCCATTGTTTCACAGTTTTTGATGTTTTTATCTGTTATAATTTTCATCTTCCCAGTGGAGCGGAAACTTCAGTGAACTTTTACGTTACAAGCTTTATTTTCATTATGACTGAGTTGCTAAGAATGCTTCCATTGCACTTGTGTTGCATTTTGCTTTTATGGATATCTATCTATCTATCTATCTATCTATTTATCTATCTATCTATCAGCCTAAAATAACTACATATCAGTTGGGCTCTATACTGTTTTTGTATTGTACAGTAACACCTACGTAACACCTCTCACATTGTTCTCTGTTTGTTTCTCTGTGTGTTTTCTCTCCAGAACCTCGTGTAGACAGAAGCTGATTACATGACATTCTCCTTTTCCCTCTCTGATCTCCTGTATTTGCAAATCATTCATCTGTTGCCACAGTATCTCATGAAAAACAGAAGACAAAGAGAAAGTGTTAAAGCTCGGCATCTGCCTTTGACAAACTATTGGTATTATATTTATTAAATTTTAATGATTAATTTCTTTGAGTCCCTTCACCCCTCCTCCATTTATGTATTTATGTATCATTTTTTTAAAGATCTTATTGACTATACAGGCAGGTGACACATAAAAAGAAAAGCCTGAGTAAATGAGTGGCCTCCTCCAGGATGACACTGCCCCCATCCATAGGACACGAGGGGTCACTGAACGGTTTGATGATGATGAAAATGAAGTGAATCATACACTGTGGCCTTCACAGTCCCCAGGTCTCAACCCAGTTAAACACCTGTAGGAGATTTTGGAACAATCTGTTAGATAGCTTCTCCACCACCATCATCAAAACACCGCATGACGGAGTATCTTTTGGAGGAACGATGTTCATCCCTCCAGTAGAGTTCAGAGACTTGGAGAGTCAGTGTCAAGGAGCACTGAAGCTGTTGTGGTGGCCCAGCACCTTACTGACACACTTTACGTTGTGGTTTCCTTTCATTTGTCACCTGTCTGGATATGTATTACCAATAATGGATCTGGGGGAAAATATTGTATTTTTAGGCAATGGGAAGTATATAAAACTATTACATTATTGTACAGCAGATAAGTGAATCTATCCTCTGTTTAATCCTGGCCATGAAACCATGATAATGTATGTTTGGTGAAAGACTGGAATAGACATGGAGCAGAAAATTTACTTCCCTATTACAATGGTGTGTGTGTGTGTGTGTGTGTGTGTGTGTGCGCGCGCGCGCGTGTGCGTGCGCGCAATGTTTGTATTTGACTCTGTTTATCTCTCATTTCTGTGTAATGTGGTATCCCTGTAGGTCACTAGTGTGTTGTCAAGATTTTTAAACTGACCAATAAAATATTTGGTATGAAAACATTTCTGTCTTTGTGTGAATTGTAGCTCAAGCATTTTTAGCCATGCTAGGTGCCAGCCAGGCTCTGTGGATGATGATGCCGGTCTGTCCCTGTGTCTTTCACTTGCTCTTTCTTTTGCCTTGTGTCAAAAACTCTGAATGATTGCTATGAACTTTGTCCTATGAATCTAGGCCATCATCCAGTCAAAAGTTCAATTTAGTTTAATTGGTTTTTGACCTTTGGAGCCTGGGAGGTATCAAAATAAAAACTGTGTGCACAACTAAATAATTTGTGCACCAAAGAAATACTCTCTAGATAATAATTTGTGCTCTCGGTTTAATATTGTATTGCACTGTATATGTTGCCTCCTCCCCTCTTGTACAAGATAGCGAATGCCTCTGATTTGCGTTTGGATAGCCCAGAGTTTGAAGAAGACTAAAACCAAGTGCTCCAGAAGTACACACAAGACAAGAATATTGGCTTTGAGGTGATAAAGTATTTTACATTTAGCACACATATTAATTCAAGAGCACAGATTGCTTGCAAGGATTGTTAGTTGTTTCTCCATGACACCCCATAACCAGTGGCATTCCCATCAGCCTAAGCTAGACTTTGTAATTAGTGCTAATTAGCAAATGTAGCTTGCTATCACAATCAACTATTTTTGTCCAAAAGAGCCATTGGCACACAGATGCTTAGTCTTGTTGGTGTTTAAAACAGCATGTAGTAAAGTTTTATAATTGTTCCAATTTGTCCCTGATTGGGTTACTGGAAAAAACTGATTCATACCTAAAAGATATGTTGAAAAAACAAATCATTTTGTGATGACAGCAAAGTGAGCGAAATACCTAAAAGCAGAGGTACATGGGGTAGGTTGGAAAATGCTGCTACTCTTCCATGGCAGGAGTGTTAAGAGAAGACAGAGAAAGAGAAAAATGGTCAAAATTTTCAGAGTCAAATGTTTGATGAGGTCTGAAGGAAGTCAAGAGTTTATCTCATGCACCAGTAAAATCACTTCTCTGATAACAGATGCCATACAGTACATGATTTGATGCCTTCTTCAGGCTGAATACGAGTTAATGAGAGGAGGTAACCATCATCTCACTGTAGGACTCCTGAAATGTGATAGCTCTGGCATTTGAAAGGCTTCATGTCTACACCTTCATCTGCTGTATGTGCCTCCTGTGCACAGATCTTGTAATTTGAAATACTACAGTATTTTGGCAGGGAAGCTGACGGATGGCAGGGAAACTGATTTGGATCATCTAAAACGCTAGTTTTTCAGCAGGGGGTATGTACCACATTCTACTTCTGTTGGTACTATTTACAGATAAAACAGTTGGTATACTTCCAGTCATTTCTAAATTCAAAAGTAGCACGACCTTGAGGCCTTGAGTCAAAGTTAGCAAGCTAGCTAAGCATGCAAAACAGGTGTTTCTACAAACAAATACAAATTCACAATACACTGTATGAAAAGTAAAATAATACAAAAATTTAAAAATAATAAGTATGTTTAAACAGATCAGTTTGCTTCATAGAAATCTATGAAACAGTCTTAGAACTGTAATTTGTTTCCTTCCAGTAAACTTTCAATAAATTTTTGTTGGACCTATAAAATAAAGCATTGCCAAATTATGTGTCAGTGTAATACTGTTATTTTGATGGTACTATGATAAGCTTGGCAAGTTACTATAACGGAGATGTGGGTTCCACAAAAGCACAGGAAGACAACTTCATGATTTGCTACCTGAGTACTTTAATGACCGAACCAGATGTGGGGCAACTTAGCTTCTATAGCCTAATGTCATGCATCACAACACTGTACTCAACTGCTTCCATACACCATACATTGAAACCTTATTTCCAGCCATTTGAACCATGTGCTGTATATGACTACTGATCATCTTACATTAGTATAAATCTAATTATATGTGTTTCAGAGGAATATAACCAATATAAGAAATAAACAGCAGCTAAAATAAACATGCCTCCCTTCAACTCAAATCGGTTTGAACGCCTTGTCACCACTGGCATCATCAAAACAAGTTAGAGTGAGCAACTGCTGCTCCGACTGGTGGCAGTACTAACACAAACCTTACAAGTACTTAATTTATTTATGAAATTATTTGCTGGCCGACTGGTATCAGTAGTGCTGTCAAATTACCTTTGACAGCAAACCGATTCAGAGTGCCTTACAAAAGCCATAACAATGCAAGACATGATGTTCAAGAAACACAAGGCAGTATAAAAAAGAGAAAGGGTTTGAAAAATACAACACTATGGGTTGAAATCGGATAAAAACAGAATAAACAAGAATGAATATTAGACCTAAATATAAATTAATAAAAAACTGTGGCAAATAAAGTTTATGTCTCAATTCAAAAGAACTGAAAATTAAGTAAAGTGTTCTGCATCAGTAAATGACGGCTACTAGGGCGAAATGGTGAATTATCATATTGCCACAGTACAACAGACAGTAAAACCCATAACCATCATTTAGGGGAGAATAAAAATAATTTTTTCTTCTATCCCCTATGTGGCAAAAAAAACTATTCATATGAGAGAGAGAAAGAGAGAGAGAGAGAAATTAGTGCTAATTAGCAAATGTAGCTTGCTATCACAATCAACTATTTTTGTCCAAAAGAGCCATTGGCACACAGATGCTTAGTCTTGTTGGTGTTTAAAACAGCATGTAGTAAAGTTTTATAATTGTTCCAATTTGTCCCTGATTGGGTTACTGGAAAAAACTGATTCATACCTAAAAGATATGTTGAAAAAACAAATCATTTTGTGATGACAGCAAAGTGAGCGAAATACCTAAAAGCAGAGGTACATGGGGTAGGTTGGAAAATGCTGCTACTCTTCCATGGCAGGAGTGTTAAGAGAAGACAGAGAAAGAGAAAAATGGTCAAAATTTTCAGAGTCAAATGTTTGATGAGGTCTGAAGGAAGTCAAGAGTTTATCTCATGCACCAGTAAAATCACTTCTCTGATAACAGATGCCATACAGTACATGATTTGATGCCTTCTTCAGGCTGAATACGAGTTAATGAGAGGAGGTAACCATCATCTCACTGTAGGACTCCTGAAATGTGATAGCTCTGGCATTTGAAAGGCTTCATGTCTACACCTTCATCTGCTGTATGTGCCTCCTGTGCACAGATCTTGTAATTTGAAATACTACAGTATTTTGGCAGGGAAGCTGACGGATGGCAGGGAAACTGATTTGGATCTTGCCTCTGGCAGATACTGTATCCACTGGGCCCCACCAGGCTAGGAGTATAATGGTAATCCGATGCAATTTGAAGGCATTATGCAATTTAGAAGGGTTCTACAGGTAGATGCTTTTAGGCCAGCAGCGTGGATTAGGGTCTCTGTGGTTTACACACACCCATCCCACACACAGCCACACTTTTGTTACTGAGGTCTGTTAACCCTTTATGTACTCCACTGGACCAACAGTTTTTTTTCTAAGTTTCATATTACATCAAATAATTCATGCAGAGCAAAAGACATTTTTGAATGAATGGGAGGCATGTTTATATATCGTTTGTAAAATTAAAACCCACCTAAGATGAAGACAAAACAACAAAGCTCATCTAAAACGCTAGTTTTTCAGCAGGGGGTATGTACCACATTCTACTTCTGTTGGTACTATTTACAGATAAAACAGTTGGTATACTTCCAGTCATTTCTAAATTCAAAAGTAGCACGACCTTGAGGCCTTGAGTCAAAGTTAGCAAGCTAGCTAAGCATGCAAAACAGGTGTTTCTACAAACAAATACAAATTCACAATACACTGTATGAAAAGTAAAATAATACAAAAATTTAAAAATAATAAGTATGTTTAAACAGATCAGTTTGCTTCATAGAAATCTATGAAACAGTCTTAGAACTGTAATTTGTTTCCTTCCAGTAAACTTTCAAGAAATTTTTGTTAGAAAATAATGGACCTATAAAATAAAGCATTGCCAAATTATGTGTCAGTGTAATACTGTTATTTTGATGGTACTATGATAAGCTTGGCAAGTTACTATAACGGAGATGTGGGTTCCACAAAAGCACAGGAAGACAACTTCATGATTTGCTACCTGAGTACTTTAATGACCGAACCAGATGTGGGGCAACTTAGCTTCTATAGCCTAATGTCATGCATCACAACACTGTACTCAACTGCTTCCATACACCATACATTGAAACCTTATTTCCAGCCATTTGAACCATGTGCTGTATATGACTACTGATTAACTAATTAATATAAATCATCACCTACTTTAACATACTCTACATAAAGGTCAACTAAAATGAAAGCTCATCTTACATTAGTATAAATCTAATTATATGTGTTTCAGAGGAATATAACCAATATAAGAAATAAACAGCAGCTAAAATAAACATGCCTCCCTTCAACTCAAATCGGTTTGAACGCCTTGTCACCACTGGCATCATCAAAACAAGTTAGAGTGAGCAACTGCTGCTCCGACTGGTGGCAGTACTAACACAAACCTTACAAGTACTTAATTTATTTATGAAATTATTTGCTGGCCGACTGGTATCAGTAGTGCTGTCAAATTACCTTTGACAGCAAACCGATTCAGAGTGCCTTACAAAAGCCATAACAATGCAAGACATGATGTTCAAGAAACACAAGGCAGTATAAAAAAGAGAAAGGGTTTGAAAAATACAACACTATGGGTTGAAATCGGATAAAAACAGAATAAACAAGAATGAATATTAGACCTAAATATAAATTAATAAAAAACTGTGGCAAATAAAGTTTATGTCTCAATTCAAAAGAACTGAAAATTAAGTAAAGTGTTCTGCATCAGTAAATGACGGCTACTAGGGCGAAATGGTGAATTATCATATTGCCACAGTACAACAGACAGTAAAACCCATAACCATCATTTAGGGGAGAATAAAAATAATTTTTTCTTCTATCCCCTATGTGGCAAAAAAAACTATTCATATGAGAGAGAGAAAGAGAGAGAGAGAGAGAGAGAGAGAATCCAACTAGAGAGTCAGTCTTTGCTGCAAGATTAAACACAAGGCAGCACCTGGTGGTCAAAGCAGGGACAAGCATGATAATGGTAGCACTTTAACATCATGTACTGCACTTTGTGTGAAATTAAATGTAATCTGATGATATTTAGAACACATAAAAAAGGGCAAAGACATTTTAAGTTTTCAGTTTTACTTTAAAACCATCATTGGGAGCAAACAGAGATGCCAGTTGATTGGTCAGTTTCATTGATTAGGGTGATGATGTCACATGCCTAACCAGATCAGTAGTTATTGTGTTTGGATAGGCTATCAATCACATCCACAACCCATGGCACAGAATAGTGTACATTAACATGCACATGCAATTTCTTGCAAAACAAGCATTGCTCTAAGCTGCTGTAGGTCCACAGTGAGAGGAATACTGATATCCACCTTCAGATACACTGCAGTCCACAAACAAACTACACATTTCATTCTTAAATGAACTGAAACAAATAAACACTTATTGTGTTTCCACGGTGCCTGTGCATCTTTGGCCCCTAATGAACAACACTGAGGGGGAAAAAGCCCCTAGTCGCCGTCGCCTGCAGTGAACCATGACAGTGTGACAGTGAACCAGCATGAACAACACCGGGACCCTGAAACTGAAGCAGCTAAATGGGCACCAGGACCCTGAAACTGAAGCAGCTAAATGGAACTTATCATTAATTGTATTGTTTACAGCTGTGCTTTTTCGACTGTGGCGTGTCAAAGTGTCTTGCATGAAAAAATGCTTATTGAACAACAGCACATGTCAGCGCTCAGTACTTTCATTAAGACACCAAAATAGCTGATTACAGGAAAACATTAAGCTCTATTTGCCATTAGTAGGTAAACATCTTCTGAACAGCTGTCTAAAAATGTCCAACAGACTGAAGTAATTTACATGGTGCTGCTGAAGGTCTACATCTCAATTTAGACCTGTGATGTTATCAGTCTGATTGTCCGTGTGCATAATGCCCTCTAACTGACATGTTGTAGCAGACTGCACAGCATTTACTGAACATACACTCTCAATATACAGCCATTAATCCACTCCTTTAAATAGAGTTGAACTCTTGCATAGTGTGTATCACAGTGCATAGTTACATAGTGACAATCTGGTTTGTATTTTTGCCAGTTTGTTTATTCTGCTCTGTGACTTTGTCTGCACTATGTTTAAGTACTGAGATGTCAACATATTTAGCCAATAAAGTTGAGTAATCACCAGGCATGTTGGTATTTATGAGCTGATGATGGGTTTAGAGTAAAATTGAACATTTGAAACAACAAATGCACACGACTTGTCTAGAATAACTCTACTCTTAGCTCAAGTGCTTTGTCTTTTTTATTCTAAACAGTGAATGTCTTCATGGTGTATCAATGATTGATCATGATTAAGAATTTCCTTACCATTCCTTCCTGACTCTTTTGAAGTAACCCCTCTTCCACACAATACCATCAGGACAGTGAAGCAAATAATCATTTATCCACCAGCAATCTCGTCCCCTTTACTGCATCTCTGTCTACAGCAAAGATAAATCACTTTTATTGCAGCTTCTTCACCTTAACTGTACAAACACACAACTATTAGTCACCCAGTCGTCACACCGTGCTCTGCCATGTTAACTGTGTACTGTGAGTTTAGACTGTCTGGCTGTGTTCAGATACACCATTACTGTACCTATGTTTGATTTTTATAGATATCTGAATAGTTTTTTTTTCTGTGCATCAATTAATTGATGAGGCCTTGATCATATGAGACTAAATGTAAGACTGCCTTTCCACTGTTATTATAAGGAGTGGAAAGACATTAAGAGCACCCTGTGGTGAGAGCTGTTCCTGTAGTGTCCTCATCATTTATACTGCTGGGTTGAGTTCATGTAAATGAGCACATTGCACATTGTATTAATTATAGAAATGTGAGCTGATACAGACAATTGTATGTAAAGGCAGAAATGATGTTATACCTACTGGAAATACTGTTGCTTTGCTATCAATATAGCAGGCAGTAGGATTTACACAGAATATGACAACTGACATAATTTAACAAGACAGAGGACAGAAGGACTTTTATAATTTAATCACTTAAACTTTATTAAATAAAGTAATACTACAGCAATACCACAAACAAGCCTGCTGCAGACCATGGGTTTACTCTGTGGTGCAGCATATTGAATTAAAAGCCCTGTGTCATCAGTATTACTGGGATGTGCACAGCACTTTAATAGTTTTGTATTTTCAGCAGATTCCCAAAAACACAAAACTCATCCCCTGTGATTGGTTGTGGCTCAGCATACCCCACTGTGCCATCAGCCCGTTTGTTCACTTAGTTTTCTGCCCACAAACAAAACTTTCCTGCCACATCGGTCGATTCTGGGCTCCCCTGTGCTTCCACAGCCCAAAATATTAGAATCTTCAACTTCTTCTGACAAAAATAAAAAGGTAGGTGACCAATATGAAAAGATCATGTGTGACATATCATATGTAAACCTGTGCATTGTTCTGTATTTTATATAGCTAAGAGGTAATTCCTTTAATTAACTTCTTCATTTGGAAGTTAACCTCTTGATCTCTGATTTTCCCTTAAAATAAGGATGGAAAACCTGATGTTTTATAAAATATTCCAACCAGATGCCATGTCTTTATGGCTGCACCACTGAATCTAGTTTAAAGCATGGATGGGGCCGCATATTCCTGTCCAAACAAGACCCGAGCACGACACAGTTGAGTTGTACGGGGGGTTTTCCCCTTGAGCGCTCCAACCATCTAGCCTAAAGTTTGACCTACATGTTCGAGCCTAACTCAGACCTGAATATAATTTCTAAATTTCTGTTTGAATCTAACCCAAACCCTTAGGTACCAACAGGTCCCCTCAGTCTCGGTTTGTGCATCCATGCTCTAATATAGTTACAAAATATTACTGATGCATCGTTTTAGGCACAATTCCCCACTGTTCACCATGTCATGTTTGGTATCTTTAGAAACTTAGTGGTCTTGGATTAAATAGAACATTTGTGGGTTTGAAAGTTGTATGTCAGCCCCACAGGTGTTTTTAAAGATCTGTCAGACAGTGTGAGACTGAGCTGGCTGCTTGTCCATCTTAGACACT